CGAAACCCTTAAATAAACCCTAAACCCCTAAACCCTAAACCCTAAACTCCTAAACCCCTAAAGCCTTAAATCCCTAAACCCCTAAACCCTCAACCCCTCAACCCCTAAACCCTCAAAGAAACCCCGCCAACTCCGCGGCTCTTGCAGGGGAAAGGCTGCGCACTGCGAGCCTGCCCGGCAAGGCCAGCAGCTGCGGGGAAATTCCAGGCCGGAGCCTCCAAAGTTGAGGGTTTAGGGTTCTGAGTTTAGGGTTTGGGGTTTAGGGTTTAGGGTTTGGGGTGTAGGGTTTGGGGTTTGGGGTTGAGGGTTTGGGGGTTTAGGGTTTTGAGTTTAGGGTTTGGGGTTGAGGGCTTGGGGTTTAGGGTTTTGAGTTTAGGGTTTGGGGTTGAGGGCTTGGGGTTCAGGGTTTTGAGTTCAGGGTTGGGGGTGTAGGGTTTGGGTTTTTTTTGGGTTTAGGGTTTAGGGTTTGGGGTTTAGGGTTTTGAGTTTAGGGTTTAAGGTTTAGGGTTAGGGGTTTATGGTTTTGAGTTTAGGGTTTAGTGTTTAGGGTTTGAAGTTAAAACGGGGTTGTTTGTTCCTTTCAACTTTCAGGGCCCAGGACCTTCAGAGCATTTGTAAATCCTGAGCCGAGCCTTGCGCGCGCCTGAGACCATTATTAAGTGTTAGTATTATTCTTGTACTATTTTTTGTTGCCATCATTACTATTGCTATCATTATGATCATTTATTATCTTTATGATGATTATTACTGCTACTAGACAATTATCATTATTGTTGTTGCTATTAATACATTAGTTAGTTTTCATATCCCGAATCCTGAACCCCAGCTGCTCAAGTCCGATAGCCCTGAACTCTAAGAGTCGCACTTCCTCCGGCTTGATCCACAAAAAACTCTAAACGCTAGGGCAGCCTGAAGAGACCATCTAATGCTTCGGTTAGGAGCCTTAGTTCGCTTGGGAGTTGAGCTGTATTTTGTTGCAGCATTGTAGGGGCCTTAATAATTAGAATAGGATTCCGGGCTCCCTTGCAGTATAATTAATATATGGTACCCTTTGGAATAATATGGGTAATAATAATCTAGGCTGGTATAGTACATTGGTCGTTTTGCGGGCCCTGCTAGTCCAGGGATCCAGCCAGCGAACGAGCAGACGGACAAAGGACCGGTAAACATAATACCAGAAAAGACCCTGGACCTAAACCCTAAACCCCTAAACCCCTAAACCCCAAAACCCCAACACCCCAAAACCCCAAAACCCTAAACCCTAAACCCTAAACCCTAAACCCTAAACTTCAGGGTTTAGGGTTTGGGTCTGATCAGCATTCAGCCCGCACAGAGACCCAGACCTTCCCGCCAGCCTTCAACGGTAATCTCCGATTCCCCCAAACAAGCCGTATAGAACCCGTGTGTAATCCTTCTACAGCTCTCATAGCACCCTTATCAAGCTTTATAGAATCCTGATCGAACCGTCATAACACCTCAGTAGAGATCCGACGGAGGCGGCGGCCCTGTGAACCTCTTCGTGGCCGGGGACTTCGGATTGGTTGGTATCGGCGAGGACGGCGAGGCCTTGGTACACGGTTTCTCCACAGTTTTGGGTTTGGTTCAGGGTTTATCGTCCTGGCTCCTCAAGGTCCTACACCCTAAATGCTTTTCGCTTTGGGATTTCGGGGAAAAGGCGTGGAGGAAGAGGCGTCGTAGTTGTGGGAGGAGCCCTAAAACTTTCAACCCTAAAATCCTAAACCCTCAAATCCTCAACCCTTAAACCCTTAAACCCTTAAACCCTTAAGCCCTTAAGCCCTTAAGCCCTTAAGCCCTTAAGCCCTAAACCCTCAGCCCTAAATCCCTAGCCCCAAAAACCCCCCAAAACGCTCACGAGCCCGGACACTGATCTGTTGGAACCTGTCGCGAGGCTTGGGCCGCTCCTGTAACAGAGGCCAAGATCAGCTGTGCTTGGTAAATTCTAAGGTTTAGGGTTTAGGGTTTAGGATTTAAGGTTTAGGGTTTAGGGTTTAGGGTTTAGGGTACGGTAAGGTTTTATGAGGGTTATTTTCGAAGGGTTCCGTAAGTTACTGTAAGGTTACTGCGAGGGTGTGGTAGGCTTACTCGAGGGCTACTATAAGGGTATAAGAAGGTGTGCTTAGGGTCAAAGTTGACGAACATGCGGAGATGGTGTTGGGTGCACCTGACAGTACATCACGGTGGTGCATTAGCATGTTGACCGACATCATCGAAGATACCCTGGAATGTCATGTTGCAAGTTACGGAACGCGTAATGTAAGAACATGAAGTTTGGACCAATGTCCAGAACAAAGCCATATTATATACAGAGTCAGCACTGTTTGGCCACATGCCGACAGAAGAAGTAGATCAAAGAACAGCAGTCAGTCTTTGATAGCTGCTGCCTGGCAGCTGGCCAAAGTCGACTTTCCGTGACCACCCGCGGCCACCCTGAAACTCATGTGTATATCATGCGGCACAGTAATCTTTCCTACCAGCACAAGGATCCATTTATGTGGTGGCATGCAGCACTATCATACTACTGCAGCAATCATTCGCCAGCATGCCAGAGCTTTCGAGCATTTTTGTCAGGTCGTCGCGACGTCCGCCGTTCGTGGCGGCCGCGTGGCCGTCGTCACCTCCAACAAGACCGTGGCTGCCAGGGGCTCGGCGGACCGGGACATTTCTATGATTTAAGTTAATTAAGGTTGGGGGGTTCCGGGGTGGTGCTTTTGTGCCCTTGTCGTCATTATGGGAATGGATTCCTTCCTTGCCTTGCTTTCTCGGATTTCCACTCCCACCTCTGTGTGTGTGTGTGCAGTCAGGGTGATGTTGCGGCTACGCTAGGGTTGCGGATTCAATCTTGGTGGCTTGCGCCCTTTGTGGCTAGGGTTGGCTGCCGTGCCTACAGGTTGCGGATTCGAGTTGTCTCAGCTTTTCGTGGGATGTTAGTCGACGGAGTCTCGGAGAATGCCAGAAGCTTCATCTGCCCTTGCAGGGACAACAAACGGGACTTGAAATCTGAACTGAATTTCAGGTCTTCTCAGCTTCATCCGGGGCGCTGGTGGCCCAGCGCAGCTTCGGCTACAGCTACGTGACTGCCTCTTGGCGGCACCATGCCATACTATAGAAGAGCCTAGTATGGTATGGTATAGTAGCTCAGAGTAGGGCATAGCAGAGTGAAAACTAAGTGCAGGGTACAGAGCGTAGAGTGTACAGAAAAAAGAACAGACGAAACAGAGTTCCACGGCATGAAACAATTCAGGCTGTGGAGCTGTTCACGGACGGTCGAGTGGCAGTTGGAGCTTACACCAACAACAGAGCCACCAATGCTGTTCAGCTTCTTGTCTAGAACCTTGAGTTGGGGCACGCCTCTGCCCCTTAAAAAAGGGGCCTAGTAATTACCTACATTATTTTGGGGGTTCCCTATTATAAGTATAGTGTAGTATACCCCAAAACGCTATTCCAATTAGTAAGGCCCCGACATGACGTCCATTGTGCCAGCAGTGGCTTTTGGGGTCCAGGATAGCCCGGATGGAGATCTACAGCGCAGATCTCCAGGAGCGTCTCACGCAGACCTGGGGCATGCCGGAGCGCTTAGTCTTGTGCAACAAGGCGTTGCCCATGCAAGTTGTATGCCACGGCCGTGATGCTGTCGGCTCACGAAGGTTTACCGCCAGGCAGCTGGACGATGCCCACAACATGGCGGACACCAGGTGCCAAGCTTTGGTGGCGTTTGTGTGTCCGGCAGTCAGCATGCATATGTGTGCACCACCCCGCAAGGGTGTATGGCTTGGTCCTCGACGACATCGAGGAGCATGTCTACGTGGCCGGCGAGTCTGCTGGGGGTAACACGATCTTCCGCTGGAACGGCCAGGCAGATTCCGTGATAACTTCCTGCTTATGCTGCCGGTTTTCAGGGGTCATGTTTTGTTTTCGCTGACAGGACCTTTCCACGAACAGTGCACGCGACACCGGGACGCCAATGCCGATTGGAAGCAGCCTGTGCACACAATCGGTGTGAGGGAGCCTTGGCAAAGCTGAGGTGGATGGCCAAGTCGGATGCGCATGTGGGCTATGTTGGCCGTGTCCGGGCGAGCGATGGAGTAGTTGTGGGAGGCGCACTGTCTGGGGAGCACTTCTCTAATGTAGATGTTGCACGTTGCAGAGAGCAGTGAGTGCCAGGGTAGGCTGTTCGTTTCAGGTACGCTTTAAGAAGCGATCCCACCACTTAGACCTCGTTTGGCCGAGCACCTAAAGCCGCCAAATCCTAAACCCCAAATCCCTGAAACCCTCAACCCATGCCAAGGCCCAAATATCGAGTCCCTAGATGCAAAAAACAGAAACAAACTATTCCAGTAAACACCTCTTATTGAAATCCTGTCAACACCCCAGTCTGAAACCCCGTTAAACGCCCATTCGATCGCATACATCGCAAAACTATAAGCCTTTTTGAAATCCTATGAAATTGCATCGACTCTCGAAAGGCACTTTCATCGCGCCCATCCTACGCTCGGCCCAGCGCCTCAACACCTTTCGAATGAAAGGCCCCACGAGGGTTTCGGAAAGCAAGGGGTGCTTTAATATTAATATTAGAGTCACATGTTAATAGTAATTGTACTAATACCATATTAATATTAATATTCATACTAATACGAATGTTCATATTAATATTATTAAGGGTTTGGGGTTTAGTCTTGCGGATTGAAGCTTTTGGGGTTTGGGGTTTAGGTTTAGGGGTTTAGGGTTTAGGGTTTAGGGGTTTAGGGTTTAGGGGTTTAGGATTTGGTTTGGGAGGTTTCGGATCCCAAGAAAACGCTTAAGCACTACAGGTAGAAGAGGCCCTGAACAAGGGGTCTCCGAATGTTCTCCCCACACGTACCATAAACCCGAACCCTGAACCTTGAACCCTAAACCCTAAACCCTGAACCCTGAGCCCTAAACCCCGAACCCTAACTAAACCCTAAACCCTAAACCCAACTCTAACCAAAAAGCCCCAACTCTAACCCGTGTCATGGGAGCCGGGTCAAAGAGACCAGCCTTGGAGGTAGCGCCTTGCAGTTCGATGCCGAGAGCAACTCTCTGTATGCACCTCGTCGAGTCAGAAGGGAGGATTATTCTACGGTACTATATTATACTATGCTCTGCCATATATTATGCGCTTTGTGCGATACTCCCTTATATTCTTGCTCGCCATATTGCAGTAACATCCCCTTTTCATTCCGGGCAGGCCCAGGTAGGTTGTTTATTCTGAGGGGCCTGGATGGCTGGGTTGTGTTCATGGCATCTGAACATGATGCTACTTGTTACATTGGGGATGTGACTCATTTTGTCATCTTGCCCCTTTTGGACCAAGCCGTGCAGATAGCCAGACAATTGCAGCTCGCTTCGCGACAGACGCTACTCTAAGTTGAATTTCAGAGTGAACATCCAATGAGCGCAATGTAATGCATACCCTGCAAGAGTTTTTATCAAGAGCCTGCTCATTTGTTGTGATCAGGTAGACAGTAGGACAATCTACTCTTCATCATTGAAACCAGGGTCCTCTTCCACACATTGTATGATTCCAGAAAAAGACTACTATGTCTCAATTTTAATGGTCAGCGCAAGCTTGTCTTTGCATGCACAAACCGAGCCAGTCGAGCCCCATCCAATTTGTGAGCCATGTTCTCCCTGCGACAACAGGCAGTGTTTTCTGCGTTGTTGTCTTTGGTCTTCAATGTGGCTGACTGGGGCACCGACATATGGGTTACTCTGCAATACATTTGTGCAGTGGATGGAGCTGTTACTGTCGTTTGCCCAGAAGTCGCCGAAGCGATGGCTTACTCTCTGAACATCTCTAACCGTTCAGAAGACGAGAACATGACCTGGATGACGACCATGAGGTGTCTTGAACCTTCATTCATCAGGTGGGTCCATCACGATTGCTCGTGAGTCGATTCGGCTATGCAAGGAACCACATAGCCACTCATCTCCAGCTGCTTGTAACGGTTTTTGATTATTTCATATTCTGAGATGAGTAACCTCGGTCGATGTTCAACACAGACAAGCACCAAGGCCAAAAGAGGAAGGATTTCCTGCTGGAACCTGTGAACCGCATCCTTGGTGGTTTGCGATATCGTTGACGATACTAACTCTTTCAACCTGCTGCGCTTGCCTGGGCCACTGTGAGGTTTACGAAGAGTATGATGCCGGGGCGACGGGCGAGCACATCTTCACATTATGTTGCCCATCATTTGCGGACATTTGTGAAGCAATGTATGAGGAAGATGGCAAGTTGCAAGCATTACTCAGTCGCATTAAAAACAAAGATCTACTCACCAAGTGGGCGGAAAGCTTGTCGCAAATGCTGCTGCAAGGATATGTAGTGTTTGTTGTTGGTCAATATGGACAAGTGGCAATAGCCTCCCTGGCGATTTCCCTTGGAGACCTTGCTTTTGCATCTATTCAAGGGCTTCCAAAACTTATTCCCAGCAACACGGTTCAGAAGTGGAAAACACAGAGCATGCCTGGCAAAGTTGCAGGGTTTCTATGGTTGTCTACCGATTTGGCTTCTCGTGCTTTGGCGTATGCAATGGTTTGGTCAGAGGTTCCGAGGGCAATCGGCTTACCTCTCGCAATCTCTCTATGTTGCTGTGGAACCTGTTGTGCCTTTGGACGCAGCGAGAGAGGCAAGGAAGCATTGAGCACAGGGAAAACAGAAGCGCAGTGGCGAGAGATGCTGACATGGTTGGTGGCACACTTTGTCCCTGCCTACACACTTCTTCAGGAAGAAGAATCCTGTGGCGATTCCTGCCTCTTGATGTTTCGCTGGATCGAGGTTGCTGGCTACGCCGCGATTGCTTGGTATTTCGCAAAAGGCCCATGTGGTGAGTCCGTGGCTTGGGAAACGGAATTGCTATGCAGCATGCTTGGCGCGAATTTGTTTTTTCTGACGGTTCTAAGATGTTGCAGATTTGCAACAGGAGATGATGTTGAACGGTATGTAGCTTCCACCGACTCTAGAGATACTCCGGGTGATGCTTAAATGCCGAAGAAGCAGCAAGTTTCACACCGGATCAAAGTGCCAGGAGTGTTGCCCCATAAGGGGCCTAGCGACGGCTCTCCGTCTTGTAATGGTGCTATGTCTCACTCTTGTTTTGGGCACCCACTCGAAGAGCAAGACTTCGCTCAAAGTGGCAAATGCCTCCCCAAAGGGGCCGGAAAGCCTCCCTAAAGGGGCCGGAAGGCCTCCCCAAAGGGGCCGGAAGCACTAAGTCGAGCTGCATAAGTTGCAGAAAGCAGCTGCCATTCATGCGGAAGATCTTGCCGTGCTATCTGCCGTTTTCTTGAAAGTACAAGACTATAGTATGTGACCCTCAGGTCATGGGAACCTCCACATGCTGCATCCCGGGCCGGACCGCCTTCACCTTGGCGGGGCAGAGGCGGGTGCGGAAGTCTGTGAAGGAAAGGTGCCTCCCGCATCTCTAAACCCCCAAACCCCCAAACCCCTAACCGTAACCCTAAACCTACACCCCCAAAACTCCTAAACCTCTAAACCCTAAACCCGTAAACCCTAAACCCCCAAACGCTGAAGCCCGAAACACTAGAACCCTAAACGCATCTCCCCTGCAGGGTGGACGGCGGCGACCCGGCAGGCTATGCCGGAAGCGACCCCAGCCTTGTAGCGTTCGACTCGGAGCTGAGGCCGCGTTGCAGATGGGCTTAAGGCTAGATTATATCATGTACTACATTACATTATATATCATTATATTATATGGTACTATATTGCAACATTATACTATATTTTATTTTATTTTACAGTTAAAGTTTCGTTCTATAATGATAGATTAGATTAGATTAGATTAGATTAGATTAGATTAGGTTAGATTAGATTAGATTAGATTAGATTAGATTAGATTAGATTAGATTAGAGTAGATTGTGTTGTATCGGTGAGAGGCAACGCCGGGCCTGGACGACATTCAGCAGCTGGAGAAACAAGGGCACCCCTGCAGGCTGGACAGGGGAAAAATGCAGTCTCAGACAGTATAACATCAAAACCTTCGATCCCTGCCAGGCCTTTCGATCCAGAATGGCATTATGACTATTGCCGTCACAACTCACGGAGGCCGGGCCATCAGTATAAGTATAATCTAGTTAAATCTAGTTTTGCCTAATCAAATCTGCGAAAATATCTTACATGTAAAATAGTATGGAGGCCAGGCCATCACCACGCCGAACGCGCTCTTCCCGAACGCCTCCGAAGCAGAGGCCTGGCGACCCCATTCCCTGAAAGTTCAGTGAGCTACGAAAGAGCGAGAAGTGTTTCTATGGCTACGACTGTAGCACAAATGAGTATAACCACAATTAGTGTATGTTTTGAAATGACTACATGTATAGTGATTATGAGTATTAGAATCGCATGGCCACGTTCCTACCAAGCGGTGACCTCCGCCTCCACCTCCGCCAATCGGCAGGATCACTCCTGCGATGTGCCGGAGGACACAAAGCTCACGGATGTTTGGCTGGCCGTTTCTGTGACTTCAACCAGAGCTTGAGTCACAACAAACTACTACTGGTAACACTACTGCTGCTCCTCCTCCTCCTCCTCCTCCTCCTCCGCTCCCTACTACGACGACGACGACGGCTAGTACTGCTACTACTCCTACTCCTACTTCGACTCCTACAACAAGTACGACTGCTACGACTGCTACCACGGCTGCCGCGACTGCCCCTACCATGACTACCTTTCCTTTATGGTGAGGGTCACGGTCGTGGTCATCCCTAACCCGTCGCACTCGAAATTCCAAAGGCCTCAACCCTCAGACCCCAAACCTTAAAATGCTGCATGCCCGTAGAGGTTGTGGTGCTGTCGTTGGTCTTACTACAATAGGATGTGGTATAAGATAATACTCGTATCACGTAGTCGAATCTAATCGAGTCTAGTCGGGCTTAACCTGATCTAATCTCATCTCATACAATATAACTAAACCCTAAACCCTAAAATCTAACAGAATCTCGTCTGACGACTCTGAGGTTTTGCCTTCCTTGCCACCGGTCGGAACGCCCAAGTTTCCCACAGACCGCCAGAGGCCGGCGCGGGTGCAGACCGCGTCAGAACTGAAAGGGGCCCTTCTAAACCCTTAAGGGTCCAAGTAGTTCTTATTTATGGTTTTAAGTACCCATAGTTCTTATTTATGGTTTTAAGTACCCATAGTTCTTATTTATGGCTTTAAGTACCCAAAAAGGCCCCAAAGTCCTAGTCCTTAAATAATGTGTACTTGGACCCTTAGGGAACCCCTTCAAAACCCTTATGAACATCTTTCAAGAAAGCTGGTTGCAGCTGGCTTGAAATTCGAAGCTCCAAACATCCCAAACCTTAAAATCTAATTCCTCAGCCTTAAATGCTCTGTACCCTGCCCCAAACCCCAAACCCCCCAAATCTAAACCGAGAGCCTTAATGACATCCGCAAAAGCCGTCAAAAGGCGGACATTGGTCGGCCGACTCCGCTTGCGTGTGCGCTCTGCAGAGGCATGGTTCTATACTCGGGTTTGGGGTTGGATAGAGATATATGGGTAGTTTTCTAAGTTAGGGTCCCTTTTAGGGTCCTTTTTGTAAGGGTGCCGTACCATATTGGGGACCCAAAAAGGGACCCTAATTTAGAGAACTACCCATATATGGCCCTTAATAGTAGCCCTATTATAGACTGTTACTGTACAGGGGCAGTACCCAAGGTTTAGGGGTGGTGGGAAGCCAGGAGGTCCCCAGATACGAAACGGAAAGAAGAAGGAACCCAAGGTCGGGTTTAGGGTTTAAGGTTTAGGGTTTAGGGTTTAGGGTTTAGGGTTTAGGGCAGGGTTTTAGGTCTTGTTGTTGTTTATACCCTGAAGCATCCTCAGACTGACTATGTAAGGATTCCGGGTTTAGATTCTTTCAGCGCTGAGGGTGTTAGGCCTTGAGGGTCTAGGGTTCTATCGTTTTCAGCTTCAGGGTTTTAGGGTTAAGGGTTTGGGGTTTAAGTTTAGGGTTTAGGGTTTAGTGTTTAGTGTTTAGGAAGTGCTCTTTTATCCTTTATGTAAAAGCCCCTTCCCAAATCGATGCCCCAATGGCGAGACCTTCGTGGACGACGCCGCCACGCGAAGAGGGCTCCGCCGCGGGGTGGCCCGAGCCCTTCAGGCAACGCCGAGGTTTTGAATTTTAGGGGGTTGAGGGTGTTTAGGCTTTTGGGCTTTCAGGGTTTAGGGTTTAGGGTTTAGGGTTTAGGATGCTTCCTGTTGATCTTGTTTTGCGCCGAAAGGTTGGGGATCTTCAGATGTTCAATGATAAGGCCAAACCGGTGATGCATCGGCCCGAGGCAGCGCAGGCCCAACGCTTACGTCCTGCAGCGTACATCCTAAGGAAAACCCTAAACCCCAATCTTGAATTACGTCCCTAAGCTAAAAGCCAGGTGCAAAACACAACAGAACCCCAAACCCATCCAAACCCCAAGCAGACCCCAAAGTACAGGGCGCCGTTTCTGGAGGTGCCCGAGGAGAACGTGAACATCACCAGCGTCAGCGTTGTGCCGGTTGGGGGTCGGAGGCTGTCCAGCCTGGGTCACGTGGCTCGAAGGGTTTCGGGCTTCAGTGTAGAAGCCTAAATTAGTTTGCGATATCATCCCTTATAGCCCTTACAGTGGACACCGATTAGAGTATGCGGCGCCCCAAAAGCTTATTCTATGTGTCAAGCTTACTTCCTACTTGTTCCTGGGTAGGGCAGCCTTCACAGTTTGAGTTGGAGAATTTCGGACTAGGAGCAGCAGTCCATCCGACATTGAGCTATTGAAGGAGATCGAAGTCCACAGTAGCCCTTAGGGGTTCCTTTAAGGCGGCCCTCTGAAGATTCCTTTAAGGGTTCCCTTATGGGTTCCCTTAAGGTGCCGATTCCTCTAGGGGGGTTGCTTTCAGGGTTCCCTTAAGGGTTCCTGGAGCCCATAGTGACCCAGGAGAGCTGCTCGTTGAATACACGGTGACCGAGACGGATGAGTCACCCCTGGACACAGCAGCACTGGAAGAAATGGTGCAGGAGGCTCGTCCTGGCAATTCCCGCTGTCTGGGCGTTTCTTGAAATCAGGGGCCCTAAACCCTAAACCCCTAAACCCCCTGAACCCCTAAACCCGAAACCCTAAACCCGAAACCCTAAACTCCCTGATTGGGAGGGAGGGAGGGTGTGGGATCCTGGTCCTTGCGAGATGAATGCAGAGGCAGAGAGGGAAACGGTAGCATCGAAGGTTTCTCGCCAGCTCCCCACCTGCACCCTCAATCCGAAGTCCTCCTTCCTAAGCTACTACTACGGGTTCAGGGTTTAGGGTTCAGAGTTTAGGGTTCAGGGTTAAGGGTTTAGGGTTTAGGACGACGACGACGACTACTACTACTACTACTACTCTGCTAATGCTACTCCCACTACTCCTCCAGCAAAGCTCCCACACCCAAAAGACCCTGAAGCCCTAAACCCCGAACGCCGATCCTGTAGTTATCCAGAAAAGTACCTTCAAGCAACCCTTGTTGTAGAAACACCATAGAGCCCAATAATGGAAAAATCCACCCTAAAGCCGGCATGGAACCCTTCCAGCCCTTCTGGAAACCCTAGCAGCCATAATCCCGTGAAAGCAAATTTCAACGCCTCACAAACCCTAAACCCTAAACCCTAAACCCTAAACCCTAAACCCTAAACCCTAAACCCCTAAACCCTAAACCGCTTCTTACCGCCTTGCAACCCTTCAAAGTCTCCCTTCAAACCTTTTAACCCTAGACCCTAAGCTAAACCCTCGACCCTAAACCTGAACTAAGCCCTAAACCCTAAACCCTAAACCCCTAAACCCTAAACCCTAAACCGGAAAGCCTTCCCTAAACCCTAAACCCTAAACCGGAAAGCCTTCCCTAAACCCTAAACCCTAAACCGGAAAGCCT